GTTCAAGGATCTATGCTCCTGGAATAAAGCATGTCTCACTCAACATATTTGGGGAATACTATCTGATGCGGATACACTTTGGATAGCTTGGATTAAAGAGTATCGCCTTCGCAACTTGAGTATTTGGGAGGTGAAAACTCGAGGATCCTGGGTGTGGAACAAAATTCTTAAACTGAGAAATGAGGTGGCGGGGAAACTGTTTAGAACCAGCAGAGGGGTAGAGTGGGAAGGTGAGCAGATGGTTAGATTCAAGATTAGTAGAGTTTGGCAAAGTTTTAGGCCGCGTGGAGAAAATGTGGGTGGTCTAAATTGGTTTGGAAAGGAGGTATTCCCAAGAATTCCGCCATTACTTGGTTGATTCTTTTGGGACGTTGTGCAACGCTGGAATCCTGAAGTGACATGCTCTTGCCCTCTTTGTAGTCAAGAGCTAGAGACTAAACACCATCTGTTTTTTCAGTGTCCCTATGTGCAGGAAGTGTGGAGCACTGTATTCCCCTCCCCATGGCAGCTTCCAATTCCCAGTGACTTGCAGTCGGGGGTGGTATTAGCTACTAGACGACTCGGTAAGTGCTTGGTGGGCAGAATACTCTGGTGTCTTGTACTAAGCGAGATATGGCGGGAAAGTTGCAGGAGAGTCTTTGGTGGGAAGCAGTTAACGGTGGTAGGGCTTGTCAAAAGAATCCAGGAAGTGATGGAAGCTAAAGAAGCAGGAGACTCAAAGTTTGCTGACTCGGCTCGGGTCCGCTCACTGTGGTACAAAGTGTAGTCTTGTTGTAGGTTTTCTCAGCTTCTGGTATTGTCAGGTAGTTTGGGTTGCAGATGCGTTGCAGAGTTTTCCTTTCTTCCTCTGCTTGTAGCTAGTATGGGGTTAGGTTTTTCAGTTGAGCTGTAGAGGTTTCCTTTCCTTCTACCTGTAACTAGTGTGGATTTTGTACAGATTGTATTTGATGAAATAAAGGCTCACCCATTCATAAAAAAAAAAAATTCACCAAATAAATGCAATATAAATAACACCATTTCGGTGTTATCACTAGCCCAATCCATAATGGACAACACCCTTTTGGGGGTATCGAGGAAGTTCGATAGAGGAATAGAAAGGCCTTTTAGGAGATTTTTTCATACACCTCTTGTGTTACGATCACCTTCTTGAAGCCAACTTATTCTCGAGTGTTGTTTCCCGTGAACTTATTGTCTTCATAGATTCGAGCATTCTTGGATGAGATTTACTTCTTCAACGACACAAACATCAGTTCTTGGGAGGGTTAATAATTCTATAAGTCTATTTTTCGATTTTTGTATGTTTTTTTGCTCCACTCTCAAGGGTCTTTTTGACAACTCTCTAAACGCCTCTAGCTTGGGGCACCTCTCTCCCAAGCTAGTTGACTAATCGATTTGTGATTCGTTCCATATTTTTAACCATTTGACTTGGTTGTTTGAATTTTTAGCATCGTCCTTCGAGCTATTTTATGCTAGGTTTTGGAATATTTTATAATGTTTTAGGCCATATAAGGTGAAATGGGCAAAAGATTGAAAGTCTGACAAAGGGATTGAAAAGGGAGAAAAATGGTGAAAAGTGCATGGATCACGGTTCGGTGGTGATTATCACGGGCAACATACAGTGAACATTACAAGGAGGTTGTGAAGCTCGCGGATTATAGGAGCTTTCTTCTGTCTCGAGGGAAATGCAAGGATCTTTCTCTTAGACCGTAAAGTCAGCACGGAAACCGTGAAGTGTGTTAATGAAACAACGTGTTTTGCACTAAAATCACAATTTTCTAGCACACTTCATGGGTGTGACATGCAACCATGAAATGTGCACAGTCGAGCTATATAAGTAGGAGATCAATTTTTCAAAAGGATGAGAGATTAGAGTGAGATTGAGTTTTTTGTTCCTTAACCTAGAGAGAGAAAGCTATGAACAAGGGAGAATTGAAGGGGGATTTAACCTACCTAAGCCATGAGGAGGTCATATTTCATCTCTAAGTATCAATCCAAGCAATTAGGAAGAAGAAAAATCCAATTCCCATGGTTTTTTTCTCTTTTCTAATTGTTGTTTTTTCTCTAGCTATGGAGTATTTTCTCTTTTCACTTGGATGAAGTGAATCCTAGTCTACGATGTTGTAGATTGGTGTTTTTAAACTCTACATGATGATGGGCATGTTTAATTATATATTGATTGCGTATTTATCATGAAAATTGAGTGTCTTTGATCAATTCCCTCAATTTTGGGGCAAATTGACCTAAGAGAGAGAAGATTTCCTTATGGAATTTGGGTCACTATTAAATAATTGTAGACAGCCATGAACAAGGGTGATTGGTGACTTTACGTCGATCCGGGTCAATGCACGAGGGAGTGGATTTGGTTGCGCTAGTCTTCTATTGCGGTATTGTGGTACACCCCTTCGATTAGATCGACTAGGTGGATTAGGAAGCCCTCAAATAGGGGGTCCCAAATATATTGGATCTCCTATTCGAGTAGGGGGGTAATCATCCGAGTAGAGCCTTCTCACTTGAATTCAACATAATTTTAGTTGTCTGTTTTCTTAGTTTGTTAGTTTTAAACAATGTTCTTATCGCTAGAATTCCCACCTTAGTAGTCTTTGTTTCTTTCATGTTTGTGAATGATGACGATCTTGTGGTGTTTGTGTTTGATGTCTTGCTAGTTGGTACTCGTCAATTTGATGAAGAAGTTTGATTATTTTAAATTTTGTGTTGGAATTTTATGTATATTATGATTTCACGATAAATGTTGTGTTGTATTAATATTATTTCTTATAATTATTTTTTTATATAGACAATGTAGAAGTGTAGTTATATTGCTTTGAATTATTTTTATAATTATATTTTATTATTAAAAGCACTTCATTTAAAATTTAGAAATAACAAAAGAAAATTGCCACATGTAGTTGTTATTGATTCTTGTGTGGTGAATGTGAGTCTGGGCGCTCCGAGTTTTATGGAGGTGATTTTTTAAAAATTTGGTGTTAGATTTTCTCTCGTACCATGGCACCGCCGCTGTTTGCCAATATGCCAACATCGACTGAGAAAGCCCCATATGTAAGCGGAAATCGAAGGCTAGCCATGAGATCCTCTTTGCTAGATGGTAAGAGCAAAAAGGAATTGTGGAACCAAAAAAATGTGGTCGAAGTATGAATCTTGAACAAGACAAGGTAGGGCTTGACAACCTTAGCTCTAAGATGGAACGATTAAATCTCTCCCTGATGTCAACTTTCTTTCATTATTTAGACATGGAAGTAACTAACGATGAAGATAATATTTGGTGATTTACCAGAATTTATGGGTGGTCAAATGATCACGAAAAAGGATTCTCGTGGGAACTCATTAGTAGGTTGGCTACCCAGTGAGACAGGGTGTTGCGGTGTGGAGGTGCGTTCGACCACGTTATTAATACAAACAAGAAACGCGGAGGGAAACCATCACATGAAACAAGCATGCGAGACTTTAGTGACTTCCTTATCCTAGTTCAGCTTTACGACCTTGGGTACGACGTTTATGATTTTACGTGGGAAACTAAAATATCGGAAGAAGGCTATATTGAAGAGCGATTGGATTGGTTTGTGGCCTTAAAGAAGTGGATGGGGATGTTCATGAATAGTACGTTGCACCATCTCCAAAAGACATGCTCCGACCACAAGCTGATTGTATGTGATACTCTGGGTGAAAATGATGTTTAACCAAGATGGGAATGGAATCTTGGAGGGTGAACCGTCGAGTGACATATTGGAGAAGCTTGAAAGCTATTGCAATGGTTAGATGAATGGAGCTTCATAACCTTCCCAAAATTTTAAAATAGAGAGATAAAATTGAGGCAATGAGAGCACTTTACTAGATATAAAATAAATTGAGCAAGTAGTCGAACAAGAAAAGCACCTTGAAAAGGAGATGACAGAATTGGAAAAGGAAAAAGAAGATTATTTAATTGGAAACAATGTTCTAGAGCTTATTCGCTAAGGAACATAGCTAATAACACGAATTTATTCCATGAGAAAGCTATTGCAAGGCGTAAATGGAACTTGATTGCAGACTGCATGATGAAGACTGTTTACAAGCCAAAAGGAAGTATCGACCTGCTTGATTTAATATTTTAGCAACCTTTTTCAAGCTGGCCTAACCTTGACTGAGACTTCTGTTTTCAACACCATTCATGAGTCGGTTGTGAAGTTGTTGCAATCCTTCACCTACAACAAAAATTTTGGCACGATAAGACAACAAAAGCAGCTAGAGAAGGAAATGGCAAAATTGGAAGAGGTGGAGATGATTATTGGAAACAAAGTTCTAGAGGTTATTGGCTAAGGAAAAGAGCTAAGAACAAGAATTTGTTCCATAAGAAAGCTACTGCAAGACGTAAAAGTGGTAAATCTTGGGGGTGAATCATCGAGTGACACAATGGAGAAGTTTGAACGCTACCTACAAAGGTTAGATGAATGGAGCCGCATAACATTCCCAAAGTTTTCAAAACAGAGAGAGAAAATTCAGAAGGCAATGAGAGCACTTGACCAGAGTCCAAAAAATGAGCAAGTGGTCAAACAATAAAAGCAACTGGAGAAGGAGATGACACAATTGAAAGAGGGGGGAGAAGACTATTGGAAACAACATTCTAGAGCTTATTGGCTAAGGAACAAAGCTGTGAACAAGAATTTATTTCATAAAAAGCTAATCCAAGACGTAAACGGAACCTGATTCACAGGCTGCATGATTAAAATGGAAGGTGGTTACAAGCCAAGAGGAAGTATCGACCTGTCTGGTTGAAATTAGCAACCTCTTTGCGGACTAGCCCTACTCCTACTTGGACGTCATTTATGAGCCGGTTCTGACTGATCGAAACACGGAACTGCTACAATCCTTCATCCACGACAAAAAATTTGGTGCATTGAGACAAATGGGACAGTAGAAAGCCACATGGGCGGATGGCCTATCATAGTTCAATCATACTATGATTGCGTTATAAAAAAGGTAAAAACTCCTAGGTCTCCAAAGGAATATAGGCCAATTAGCTTGCGCAATGTCATATGCAATATTGTAGCAAAAAAAATTAGGCAAACCAGTTGAAGTCGCTTCTGAAGAATGTCAGCTCACCACAACAGAGTCCTTTTGTGCTCAGAATGTTTATTATTGATAACATTATGACTAGTTTTGAATGCTTCCATACGATGAAGAAGAAAAAGAAGGGCCAGACTAACTTTTTTGCTATAAAAATATATATGAGTAAAGCATATGATCGAGTAGAGTGATAGTACCTTAAAGGCAAAATAAGGCAGATGAGATTTGCAAAGAGGTAGATTCAGCATCTCATGATGTGTGTTCGTATTGTGTCATACGCAGTCCTAGTAAATGGACACCGATTGGTGAGATCTACGCCTAGTCGAGGACTCGAGCAGGGAGATACTCTATCGCCGTACCTTTTCATGATATGTGCAGAAGGGCCTATCAACGATTATGAAGAGGACAGTGCAAGAAATGATTGCAATGCCTGCACCCATCCAAAGGAGCCCTCATCATCACCCATCTCGTTTTCGCTAATAATAGTATCTTATTTGGCACGACCACAATGCAGGAAAATACATCTATAATGGAGATCTTAAAACCATATGAGAATGAGTCTGGACAGCTATTTCCATAAATCATAATTGTCATTTAGTATAACATTAAATGTCACAAAAAACTTATAGTAAGTGGAATTCTAGAGATAAAGTCAGTGGAGAAACATGATAAGTATTTCGGCCTTCACACAATGATCTATAGATCAAAGAAATAAATTTTTTTAGGATTGAAGGAGAGGGTCCAAAAGAAACTTAAGGGATGGAAGGAGAAGACTCCATTAGTAGTTGAGTGTGAAGTTTTGATGAAATCGCTGCACAAGCACAACTTACCTATGTTATGTCGGTTTTCAAAGTCCCGATTGTTGGTCCATGCAAAGCGAAGGCGTTCTTCTATTTCCTCATTAAATTACTCAACCATTCCATCCGACGACATTTCTGCAAAGGCGAAAAAGACCTCTCCTCGAATTTCAATTTCAACGGCTAGTGATGGGATCAAGAAGACCTATGAACTCGGCTACTGAATTTAATTCGCTGGAGAAGAAGAAACCCAGAGAACTTAGAGGTCGTCTGCTTGTAGGATTTTGATGAGCGATTTTGCCTCAAAATCTCATAAGTGTTGGATTATTGTCCAAATCCATGTTTGTTGATAAAATGAAGTTGGCCTAAATCCGTAGAGCCCACAAATGTGTGATTTTATTTTACTCAAAATCCACGGACCCCACGGATTATAAAATCCCACCTCATGAGGTAAGATTTTGAGAAGTGCCAAAATCCGTGGACCCCAGTAACTATGAATGACCAAAGTATCCTTAACAAAAAAAAAATACTTTAGGATGATAGGAAGAAGGATAAGAAGGTAAACTTATCATTTAACCCATAAATAGTAAAGTCCATTTTGAAATCCAACAAGCAAACATGTAATTTTAAAAATCCAAGATAGTAAAGTCCATGTTGAAATCCAACAAGCAAACATGCAATTTTTAAAATCCAACAGAAATCCAACATAGCAAAATCCAACATAATCCTTCAATCCCAAAATCCAAGGTTTTACTAAAATCCTTCATTTTTTAAAATCTCACAAGCAAACGACCTCTTAGTGACTATATAAATCCATGAATGTACATTGTCAAGCTCACTTTTGTGAGAGCAAGAAGTGTGTGCTTAAGGCTTTACATCTGTCAAGGAATTGTCAAACCAAGAGCTATTCATAGCTAGGGTTTGTAAGATTTCTTCAAGTTGTCATAGCTCGAGTATAGCTAGTAGTTGAGATTGATCACTGAATCTTGTTTTGTACTTTAGTACCTTCCATTCTGAATAGGTCAGTTCTTTATTTGATTGCCAAAAGGTGTTCTTTCGATTCGAGTATTGAGTTCTTTGCATTTTGAAAAACGAATTTCAATTAGTATAAGAGCCAGCTTCTTGTTCGATTATATACTGCTAAGAAGAGTCGGAAGTGTTTTTCAGAATGGCAAGCTCATCCGAAAGTAAATCCTTTCCTATCAGTACTAATCCACCCTAGTTTGATGGGTCTGATTATCCTGTGTGGAAAAACAGGATGAGACTATTCCTTAGAGTAATTGATTTTGATCTCTGAGCCATTGTATAAACTAGGACTATAGATATGTAGGCAAACAAGAAAGACACTTGGTCTGACGAACAGAAGGAAAGTGTTCAGCTTGATTCCAGAGCTAAATGTGAAACAGTAATGAGATGTGGAACATCTTTGAAACCATTTTTAAGAGAACAAAAGAGGTAAAAGAAACTCGTATTGATGTTCTTCTCAGCGAGTGGGAATCGTTTGAAATGAAATAAGGAGAATCCATCTCTGACATGGATAAGACGTTCACCGATCTGGTAAATAAACTACAAGGACTTGGAAAAACCTTTTCTAGCAATGAATTGGTTAGAAAAATCTTGAGATCCCTTCCCAAGGAGTGGATGCCCAAATGAACCGCAATTGAAGAAGCAAAAGATCCAAATGTGTTATATGTTGAAAATTTAATGGGATCATTGCTTATTCATGAAGAAGTCCTTAACCAAATGTCCAAATATTATAACAGGAGGAAAATGAACATAATGTTCAAATCTTCATCAGAAAAACTTGAAGAAGAAGAAGAGGACATGGATAAGGAAATTGTTATGTTAAGCAAACATTTGCAACGAATAATTAAGTTAAAGAAGGACAAGAGCTTCTTGAGAGATTCCTTCAAACAAAATGATAACAAATACTTGAGATCATACAGAAACGATAATGAAAATCAAAGTAAGAATATGATGAAACTCCAGACAAAGACTCATCCATTGTATGTTTCACATGTGAAAAAATAGGTCACATGAAGTACATTTGTCCTTACAATAAAAGGTAAAAATCCCTCAGTGCAAACTGGAGTGATTGTAGTTCTGACGAAGATAACAATGAGGTGAATGCGTACATGGCAAATGAAGAATCCTCAGATGACTCAGATTGTGATTCATTTAGTGGAGGATACAAGGTAATTTTCGAATCTAACTCTACATGCTCCTCTGATATCTCATCTTGCATACAAGAAGTTGCTAATTTAAAGGATGAATGTGATAGACTCAAAAGCAAATGCTGCTATCTTATGACTGAATTACAACGAAACGATTATGAAATATCTAGATTGAAGAAAATTGTTTCATTCCATAAGGAAGAAAATGATACTTTAAACTCCAAAAATTTTATTTAACTAATACCTGAAAGGTGTCTCGTTCATATCATTATAGACAACATAATTCTACTCACTGGAATTCTCGCATCAATCATCATTCCAAATCTAGGACAGGTTCTTTATACAATAAAGGACCAACTCCTCATATAAGAAGTCTAGCCAGCACATTTCGTCACAGTTTTCTGGTCAGTATAATGTTCATGGTGTCTACCTTTGCAATTTCTGCAATAGGAAGGGGCATATTGAAAAAATTTGCTATGATAAACTCAGACAAGTTAGTAGAAAAATGGAACCCAAATTTGTTTGGGTACTCAAATCTATTAACAAAGGGGAACTCTTGTGCAGAAAAAGGGAGCACGATCTCAAATTTGGTATCTTGACAGTGGTTGCTGCAACCATATGTCTAGTATTGGAAAACTATTCTCTGATACTGAGAAAAAGAAAGGAGGTAAGGTAATATTTGGTGATAGTAGTGTTGGATACATATGTGGACTTGGCAACATTAGAAAGATTCCTAATGCATGCATACATTATGTCTATCTAGTAAATGGCTTGAAGTATAATCTCTTGTCTATCAGTCAATTATTTAAATCTGCAAACACTGTGACTTTTGATGCCAACTGTTGTTATGTCAAACGTGGTGATCAAGTTTTCTTCCCTAGAAACTGAAAACATAACAAGTATGTCATTGACCTTGACAAACTCACATTACTGGATGAAACATGTATGCCGTCCTCTTATGATCTTGAGATGTTTTGGCATAGAAAACTGGGTCACATTTGTGTAAAGAAACATGTATGTTGTCCTCTTATAATCTTGATATGTTTTGGCACAGAAAACTGGGTCACATTTGTTTAAAGAAAATTGGGTCTCTGTTTGATAAGTGAAGCCTAACTTCCTTAAATGTTGCTGCCACTCCCATTGCCACTACCACCAAGCTTGATTCAGATCCTTCAGGTAAGAAAGCGTGTGAAAAACTTTACAGAGGTATGATTGGATCTCTTCTCTATCTTACTGCTAGCAGACCTGACATTAAATTTGTTGTGTGTCTATGTGCTCGTTTTCAATCATGACTTAAGCAAAGCCATCTTAGTGTCGTCAAACGTATCTTCAGATATTTAAAAGGGTCACTTTCACTTGGCTTATGGTATCCTTTTTCCTCTGGATTCGATTTATCTGGCTTTAGTGATTCTGGTTTTGCTGGGAGTCTAACTTATCGAAAAGCCACTTCCGGTATCTATCAATTTCTTGGTTCTTGTCTTGTTTTGTGGGGAAGTAAGAAGCAAGCTAATATTGCCTTATCAACCGATGAAGCTAAATACCTTGCTGTCGGATGTTGTTGTGCTCAAATCCTATGGATGAAATCTCAAATTCTAGATTTTGGAGTCAAGTTTTCTACTATTCCCATTTTTTGTGACAATTCTAGTGCCATATGTAAATCCAAAAACCCAGTTCACCATTCACGAACCAAACACATTGATTTCAAATATCACTTTATTCGTGATCTTGTTTCCAACAAAACTGTTGAGGTTCTCTTTATTACAGACTCTCAACTCACAGATTTGTTCACCAAACCTCTCTCTACTAAGTGATTTTCCTTGCTGGTTTCCGAGATTGGCATGCTTCCTTTATAGTGATTCGCTTCGTCTCTCTGATATCCTTGGAAATCTAAGTTGCTATCATTACGAAGATGGACATGCCATTTCTTTGTATCTTCTCGCCTTTTTCACCTATAAATTCCTCCTCCACCTCTGTCCTTGTCATATCTATCTGTTTTTACTAATCCAGATAACATGTTACTCCATTCTTCCATTTCCTCCAATAACCGAAACCCCATCATTCACACCTTCTCCAACTCTCTTTTGCATGGACCAGAGGATTTTCACCTCTTTCATATGTACTTTGAGCATCGTTCTCTTCCCGCCGTTTTTCTTTTGAACCGATATTTTTTAACCTTTTGGTATTCGTCTCTCCTATCTTCTGGAAGGTCTTGGTTGGGAGTTTCTGGCTCATCGTTGTCAAACCCCTGCTGCCCCCTGGTGTGGTTCAGATTTTTTATGCCAACATGGATCCTAATCTTGAAGGACGTAATTTCACCACCATCGTGTACAGGCACAATATCAATATGACTGTTGATGCCATGGGTTCTACCCTTGGATTTCCCAATGAAGGGATCTATCTCGCGTCCACTCGTGACCTTTGGGGTTTCCGCTTTGATGCTACTGTCACATACTCAAGACTCTCGGGTGTTGATGTCCACTACTACTCTCCAGTTAAAGTCTCTCGTCTACCCCCACATCTTCGAGTGTTCCATTATCTTCTCACCAGGGTCCTCCTTCCTCGCTCTGATCAACTTGGAGTAGTCATTAAACATGATATCCGGGTCATTGAAAACACCATTGCCAAGAAACATTTAAACTACTCTCATGTCTTGTTTGGTCACATGGTATCTGCTTCTAATGAGCACTTTCAAGACTATCTTCCCTTTGGTGACTGCATCACTCAACTCTTAGCCAATCTTAGTATTAATCTCTCTGCCTTTGCATCATCCATATCTGTAACTTATGTCTTACCTCACCCTGTTCTTGGCTCTCTTGGTTTTACCATCGATCTTCCACAAGGGGGAGATGGAATGGTTGTTGACCGGTGGCCTGGACAACTCTCTCCCAATGGACCTCTCGATAGAGCCCGAATTTCTCTAATCATCCACGTCATACACCCTAACTCCCCTCAGACAGAAGACTTTGTTGAAGCTTCCCCAAATGCTTATACGGCCCCAGATGCTTGAAGATGTGACTGCAATCCATTTGCAACCTCCAACTATGATTTTTCTTTTGTTTAAGATTTTCTTTGAAAACGGATCTCCTTTGGGAGAAAAACTTTCTTTTTGATGGATGATTGACTAAATTCTCCTACGGGGAGAAAAACTAGTTTTGACATGAATGGTCCCTCCCAGGGGGAGTGATTTTAAGATAGCCTCTGTTTAGATTGATATGGTCTGGCTTGTTGGCTGTTTTGTTTTTGTACTATGTTTGCCTTGGTCTGTCTTCTGATGTTGCAGGTCTTGGTCAACAAGATGTGGAAGCTGAACGCAGGGGAATATTGTTGGTCGATGCAAAACGACGTCGTTCTTCGCTTCCCTCATTAAACGACTCAACCATTCCATCTGACGATGTTTATGCAAAGGCGGCAAAGACCTCTCCTCGGATTTCAATTTAAACGGCTGATAATGGGATCAAGAAGACCTAGGAACTCGGATGCTAAATTTAATTCGCTGGAGAAGAAGAAACCCAGAGAACTAAGTGATTATATAAACCCATGAATGTAAACTGTCAAACTCACTTTTGTTAGAGCAAGAAGCATGTGCTTAAGGCTTTACATTTGTCAAAGAATTGTCAAACCAAGAGCTGGTCAGGGTTTGTAAGAGTTCTTCAAGTTGTCATAGCTCGAGTATAGCTAGTAGTTGAGATTGATCTCCGAATCTTGTATGTACTTTCGTACCTTTCATTCTGAATAAGTCAGTTCTTTATGTGGTTGTCAAAAGGTGTTTCGATTCGTGTATTGAGTTCTTTGCATTCAGAAAAACGAATTTCAATGATGGAGTATTGGACAATAACCATTGTTTAATTCATACTACTGCGGGCAACATGGAACTGAACGACGAACTCATTGTCTAAGACGGTAGGAACTGGTTTGTACAAAGTCTAAAAAAAGGTATGTGATTTAGAGATTTTCAAGGTTTTAATACTGCTCTACTAGCAATAGAGATTCTATAATCTCCCAAAATCCTTGATTGCACTAGTATTAAAGGCGAACTATCATAAGAGAACAACCATTCTCGAAGCTCCAATAGGGCATCAATCGAGTTTTATTTGGCATAGCCTACTTAGTGTGAGGGACTACGATTGAGAATTGGTGATGGCGCATCAGGATGTAGATAGGGAGATAAATGGTTGTGTAAGAGACACATTTCTTACCTTAGCTCCACAAGGATAGGAAGTGGACGCCACAGTAAGGGAGCTAGTAGGCTCGGATAGTGAGCAGTGTGATTTAGAAGTGATTGAAGCCTATTTTGACACGACTGCAACACTAAGTATCCTACAGAGACCTCTGTGGGGGTAATGGCGAACAGGACAAGATGATATGGGTGGCGAATCCTCAAGGTGAGAGAGGATTATCATCAATGACCGAAGGGCTTTAATGCACGCAACTTGGTTCAACCTTATGGAGAGCCGGAGGTGTGGAACAATATACGGAGACCGTGAATTCCACCGAAAGTAAAGCTATTCATTTGGCGGTTTTCACAGGACGGATTACCAACCGACAACCATATAAGCAAACACAGTAAAAAACGGGGATACAAATGCCCGTTTTCTAGAATCAGGGCGATACAAATTCATCTCTTCGGCGAGTGTGAATGGGTGTCTTGGATTCGCCGGGAATCAGAGCTAAGAGATTGCTTCTTATTTCGCAAATCTGTTGATTTAGTTTGGTAAACACAGTGATGGAAATCCAAGATGAAGGCAACTTTAAATCTTAGTGTGATGTGGTTCTTCTGAAAAAACACAACACTCATCTCTTTAACGATCATTAGCTTCAGGAAAACGAGATTGCAATACGAGCCCGATACTTCCTGGAGGACTATCGACATCACTAGTGTAAGGTGGACGTCGGGGTGGTACCACCACTACCGAAGACATGGCAGCGACCAGGGCCATGGAATGATTAAAATCAATAACTATGCAGGGTGTCTTGAGTGCGGCGACTATGGCCTCGGGATCGTGATACGATGTGAAAATAGGAAGTCTCTGCTAGTAGCAACAAAGAACATATAGTGTAAGTGGGGATAAAAGAAATGAAGTCGCTAGCAGCATAACTGGGGGCTCAATTGCTCGCCAACTTGCAAATGGACGAGTGCTCTTGAAACATAATGTCTAGCGTAGATTCAAAAAATAGTAAAATACATGTAGCGGGAGAAGTCCAAACTGAAATAGGGACATTATGTCAAAGTATAAGAAGGCACATTGATGATATTGGGGGATTATGGCAGTATATCCCTAGAGAGAGTAATATGGCAGTATACATAATAGGGTTGTTAGAAGTGATTCTTTGAGGACCATTTTGTAATATATATAAATATATGTTAGCCGTGTGTATACGGGGTTAGGGCTTGAGGAAAACATCATATATATAGTCTTTGAGACTAATTGTAAGGTATCTTGGAACACTGAGAAATAAGATAACCTAATGCATTTGTGTCGTGGACTAGTCTCAACGATCATCGTTGGGGAAACCATGTAAATTCTCGTGTTCAGTGTTCATTCTATTCCATGATTTGCATCTAGTTTGACATGGTATTAGAGCCTCTTCTCACTTTCGTGGTATAGCTTCGGTCTTCTTGTGCGAGCAGCATTCCTGGTCTTCGCTGCTTTCTTCTGGGATTTCTTGTTGTTGGCGTTGCGGAATTATTTGTCTTCTCAGCACTTTTGGAATTTGCTGCCGCTACATCCAAGGTTAATTGTGTGGCTGAGTTGATTTATTAGTCTTCCTGGTGATTCTTTTGATTTCTCAGGTACATTGGAAATTCAGTCTTGTTGCCGCTGCTTCTTGGCTTCACACAACTGTTCGTTTGGCTTCTCATCTTGCGCCACTTGTCCGGTAACCCTCGTTGTCCCTCGCCCTTACTTGTTGCTGCGGCCGCCTTCGTGTGGTGTATTTGTGGTGTTTTTCCCTAGCTATTGTCCAATTCCACGTTTGTTTTCGTGTGGTACTTGCCCAATTTTTGATGTGTTATTCTTTCTTGCTGATTATCATGGAGGGTGCGAAGATGGATGCTCCTTTGGTTCGATTTACTGGGAAGAATTTCCCACTTTGGGAATTGCAATTTCGTGTCTTTGTTCAGGGACGTCGGTTGTCACCTATTCTTGATGGCACCTCTTCTGAGCCTGGGGTGGATGCTTTCGCCAAGACTAAAGTTGATTGGGCTATTGAGAATGCTCAGGTTATGTTTTGGATTTTATCGAGTGTTAATCCCGGGATTGCTCTTAGTCTCCGGACTTTTTCTACTGCTCATGCTATGTGGAAGCACTTAAGGGATATTCATTCTCAAGCTGATATCTCACGGAAGTTTGAACTTGAGACTGCGATTGCCTCTCTCCAGCAAGGGGATCTTGATATTAGTTCATACTATCAAGCTGATCTTAATCTCTGGACTGAGCAAGATATGTTGACAACGGCTGAAGTTCTTAAGGAACGGGCGAGTTCTCGTCTAATGGGTTTTCTTATGCGTCTTAACCCTGCCTTCGAGGGGGTTCGTTCTTCTATTCTCCACCGTAATGTGGGGTCGCTCGAGGAGGTCTTAGGAGAGTTGATCCGTGAGGAGACTCGCCTTCGTACTCAAGCTCGTCTGGATGTTCACTCTTCAGATTCTAGTACGGTGTGCGCGGTTCAGCCTGGGCGCCCTCAGTTTATTCGTACGCCCTCTGGGGAGATTATCTGTTATCACTGTAAGGAGCCCGGCCATGTTCAGCTTTGTTGTCCTAAGCGCATTGTGTGTAATTACTGCAAGGCTGCGGGACACGTCATTGGTGCATGTCCGATACTTGCCCAGCGTGGCAGGGGTCGTGGTGGCCGCTCGGGTTACTCTTAGCCAGCTGGTGGGTCTCGTCCTAGTGCTCCTCGTGCTCCATCAGGTACATTTTATGCCACTACTCAGGCTGCGCCATCTACTGCCCATGGCAGCTCGTCAAGCTCTATTGGGGTGTCTTCTGAAGAGATTCGTCGTCTGGTTCGTGAAGCTCTTCAGGAGTCTCTACCTTCTGCTTTGACTGCCGCATTTTCTACTGGTATGGTATCTTCGTCTTCTACTCCGTGGCACCTTGATTCTGCTGCTGTGAACCATATGTCTAGTGATAGGTCGATTTTTACTTCTCTTCGGCCACATACTGGTATTCTTTTACAGGTGGCTGATGGTTCCCGTATGGCCGTTGTGGGTACGGGTACTATTAATAGTGACCGGTTGTCTCTCTCTCGGGCCTTTTATGTTCCTAAACTCATCCCCAACTTGGTTTTTGTGGGTCAGTTAGCTGATGATGGTTGTCGTATTGTTTTTGATGCTCATGGCTTCGCTGTGCAGGACATGAGGACGGGGGCGGTGATCGGCAAAGGGAGTAAGAGAGGTCGGATTTATCTACTTGATAGCCTTGGACGACAAGAGGGAGATCAAGGCGAAACCCTCGTCCCGTCTATCAAGGAGTTAACCGATCCTGCATTTATTGTTTCTCGTTTCTCTACTCCCTTAGACAAGACTGGTTATTCTGTAAAATTGTCGGATTGGGATTTGTGGCATTCTCGGCTAGGCCACCCTCATAAATCAAGACTTTTTTATATGTTTAAGAAAAACTGGTTATCTGGTTCCATTCGGTCTATTCCTGATCATGAGTGTGTTCATTGTGTGGAAGCTAAGATTTCTCAGCGCTCATTTACTGCGAGTTCGACTGAATATGCTGACCCATTTTATCTGGTTCACACTGATCTGTGGGGGCCTTCCCCAGTTCCATCGCGGCTTGGGTTTCGCTACTTTGCTCTGTTTATTGATCATGTGACACGGTTTACATTGGTTTACTTTCTCAAGCAGAAGTCTGAACTATTTGAGGTGGCTCGAGACTTTATACAGATGATTTTAACCCAGTTTGGCAAAGTCATCAAAATTCTACGTTCCGATCCTGGTAGGGAGTTCTCATCTCATCCGTTGCAGGATCTATTTCGGCAGAAGGGCATCCTCCCTCAACAGTCGTGTCCGGGAGTGTCTCAGCAAAATGGGTTAGTTGAGCGCAAAAATTGTCATGTCTTGGAGCTGACTCGTGCGTTGTTATTTCATTCGTATGTGCCGACTAGCTTTTGGGTTGAAGCTGTTCATACAGTGGTGTATCTCATCAATCGCCAGATTACCCCGGTTCTTAACCAGTGCAGCCCCTACCAGGTTCTATATTCACGTGTTCCCAACTATGGCTGGTTGCGCGTGTTTGGATGCATCTGCTATGTGCTTCTTCCGAGTAGAGAGAGGAATAAGCTCTCGCCCAAGGCTGCTAAGTGTGTTTTTGTCGGCTACAGCGAGAAGCATAAGGGGTATGCGTGCTACGATGTGACTGCTCGACGTCTACGTATCTCCTGTCACGTCGTCTTTCTTGAGCATGAGCTTTACTATGCTTCGACTGCTTCTCCCACAAAAGAGCAGTTGGACTTCCTCACTTCTATTCCTAGCTTCCCTGTTGTTGAGACTGTCGATGATGATACAGGGCCACCGACTCCACTCTCGGCCACTTCCTCGTCGACGTCCTCCTCTTCCAGCTTGCTGTCCCCTGACTCCTCCTCATCTGGCTCCTCATCGTCTACTTCCAGCTCCAACTCAACGATCTCCTCCTCGGTGGGTGCGGACCCCGACCCATCCCTTCGGCGTTCGACACGCACAACAAAGGGGAGACCTCCTGCCCGCCACTCCAATTTTGTGGCCTACTCTGCCACTTCGTCGGTGTTCGTTCCTGCTACGTATAAACAAGCCTGCGGTATAGATATGTGGGAGCACGATGACAACAGAAACGGATGCTCTCGAAGCTACTCATACATGGGACTTAGTTCCTCGTCAGCCGGGTATGTATGTGATTGGTAGCAAATGGGTTTATGCTCTCAAATTTCTCCCAGATGGATCGATTGAACGCCATAAAGCAGGGTCGTTGCTCAAGGCTTCAAACAACAGTATGGGGTGGACTACGATGAAAAGTTTGCCCCGGTTGCCAAAATGCAAACGGTTCGCAGTCTACTTGCTATTGCTACCATGAAGGGATGGCGTCTTCTTCAACTAGATGTCAAGAATGCGTTCTTACATGGAGATTTAAAAGAAACAATTTACATGGAGAGGCCACCGGGTTATGCTAAAGGTGACAGTTCTATGGTTTGCTTATTGAGGCGCTCTCTCTATGGTTTGAAGCAGGCACCTCGAGCGTGGTTTGAGAAGTTTCAGTCAACGATACTTGGTGCTGGGTTTGTTCATAGTGAGAATGATCCCTCACTCTTTCTTCGGTCTACCGTGCGTGGGCTTACTGTCTTGTTACTCTACGTTGATGACATGGTTATTGGTGGTGATGATGAGGAGGGTATTCAGTTCCTAACTGCAACGTTGAGAAATGCCTTCCATCTCAAAGAACTCGGTGATTTATCTTACTTCCTGGGATTAGAAATTACTCGCTCTGCAGCTGGCTTTCACGTTAGTCAACACAAGTATGTTGTTGATCTGTTAGAGGAGGCCCAGATGGATGAACGTGAGCCGATTGGTACTCCCATGGAGCAGAACCTTAAACTTCGGCAGGATGATGGAGAATTGTTGCCTAATGGTACTGTGTATCGCAGTATAGTTGGCAGTCTCATTTACTTGACTAATACTCGTCCTGATATTGCTTATGCAGTACAAGTGGCAAGTCAGTACATGGCGGCTCTGAGGACAACACACTGGTTTGCAGTACAACGCATCTTGCGTTATCTTCGGGGCACACTAAGTGTGGGTTTGTTCTTTTTGTCTGGTGGTGAGCCCATTGTGACGACGTATGCTGATGTTGATTATGCTGGTTGTCTGGATACTCGTCGTTCTACATCAGGTTGTTGTGTTCAGATTGGAAATTCGTTTGTCTCTTGGCGTTGTAAGAAACAGGAGAGAGTTTCCAAATCATCTACAGAATCTGAGTATCGGTCTATGAGTGAAGTCACATCCGAGCTTGTGTGGCTTCAGCGATTGTTAGCTGATCTTGGAGTGCAGTGTGCTCTGCCTATTCGCCTTTACGCAGACAACACTAGTGCCATAAGGATTGCTACTAATCCTGTTCTTCATGATAGAACGAAGCATATTGAGGTTCATGTCCATTATATCAGGTAGCTGGTCACTGCAGGTATCATAGAGCTTTCCAACGTTAATTCGGAAGATCAGACCGCCGATTTGTTGACTAAGGCGGTGGCATCTGCTCGTCATTGGTTTTTGGCTCACAAATTGATGTCGCGACAGCAGCATCAATTTGAGGGAGGGTGTTAGAAGTGATTCTTTGAGGACCATTTTGTAATATATATAAATATATGTTAGTCGTGTGTATATGGGGTTAGGGCTTGAGGACAACATCATATATGTAGTCTTTGAGACTAATTGTAAGGTATCTTGGAACACTGATAAATAAAATAACCTAACGCCTTTGTGTCGTAGACTAGTCTCAACGATCATCGTTGGGGAAACCACGTAAATCTCGTGTTCAGTGTTCGTTCTATTTCATGATTTGCATCTAGTTTGACAAGGGCATGCCAAGTATAGGTGTCAATCGGGCGGGTTCAATCAGGTTCGGGTTCAAACGGGTTGCGGGTTAGTCGGGTTGCGGGTTTATCGGGTTCGGGTTCAAACGGGTTGCGAGTTAGTCGGGTTGCGGGTTCATCGGGATCGGGTTCAATCGGGTTGCGGGCAAATCGGGTTGCGAGTTCATCGGGTTTTGGGTCGGGCGGGTTGCTGGCGGATCGGGTTGCGGGTTGTTCGGGTTAGCGCATCGAGTAACTTACTCATTACTCGTTACCAACTTACACATTTTATTGCACTAATTTCAAATATTTTTCTAAACTTTCTAACCAATTTCTTTCTACCTCACATATATATATATACTTAATTAAAAAAAAATAATCAAAATGTTGAATCAATTTGTATGACTTGCAAACTTGTTATGTAATTAATTATTAATCATAATTGGTAAAGTACACTAGCTAATAGTAATGGTGATATCAACATTCGCAACCAAAAGACACCATTAATTGTTTATTTGATATTTTAGTATTATTTAAGTAGTAATTGGATTAAAGTATCTCGTTTAGTATAACCATGCAAATATGGTATTTGGTGTGTGGTATTTGGCAAAAGCAGAGTGATAGAAGGAGTTATTTCGAAATAACTCATTGCCCAAATAACTTCAGTAAACTGTTGCCAACCAAGTTGTTTGTAAAATGGTTCGAATTATCCTAAAAATCGAACCATTAAAAATTAACTATCAAATTTAGTAAAATTGTTTTGACTTCAATCATAACTTACTCAATAACATATATCCTATACACTTAGCCTTACCCCCAATCGACAATATTAAGTTAGTGTATGTTGTTGATCGTATACTTTAAACCATCAATACATTATACACTAACCACATACCCTATATAACCTAACCATATATCCTTATGAGTTGTGATTTTGCTAATATAGTTAATTCAAATGTGAAATTCATACTTTGATTTTCAGAACACAGATGAAAAAGTGATATTTGTTAATTGTTATACCCTAACCATATATCTTATACTCTACACCATATACCATGTACCCTAACCACGTACCATAAACATAAATTAAAAAGTGATCTCCTGCCGTTAAAGACTTCAAATGACTTCAAGTTAAAATATGTTAATAAAAAAATACCGTCAAAATCATCTATACCTCATACCCTTACCATATACACCCTAAACCATATGTACCTTATACCCTATACCCTAACCATATACTTTATACCCCAAACAACGAACCGTCAAAGGTTACTTATCAAGTTTAGTATAATTGTTGGCTCATATTGACCCGCCAATAAATTTTCCATTCCAAAGTTCCCACCCAAACCTCCCTCTCATTTCCCATTCCAAAGTGACCCGCAAGGTCGCAACCCGATTAACCAAAATTTTCAAACCCGCAACTTGACTGAGTTATTGCAATCGTATGACTTAACATGTCAAGTTTAACTCTCATTTTGAAATAAAAGTTCAACACGAACACAACTTAAATGCCCTCCATATAAAAATTAAAGATTCATATTTCAAAGGCTAAAATTTTGAAAAACCAAAAAGTTGAAAACACTAAATTTGTTTCCTTCTTTCTTTTAACAAAAAAAATACTAAAAATTCCCTCATTTCTCCTTCCATAAATTAGAAACACTCAATTTTTCCTCTTCTTTTTCTTCCATAAAATTGAAAGAACCAAATTTCCCTCATCTTTCTCTTCCATAAAATTGAAGAACCAAATTTCCCTCGTTCTTCCTTCCTTACACAAAAATTTGAAAACTCAAAATTTCTCTCCTTATTTCTCTTTCATAACCAAAATAGCCAAACTTTCCCACTTTTTTCCCTTCCCACAAATAACAACCACCAAAATCTCCCTTGTTTCTTTTCTCAAAAATTCAAATAACCAAATTTCCCTCTTCTTTCTCTTCCCAAAAAGTTGAATACACAAAAATTTCCCTCTTCTTTTAAAAACATCAAATTACCAAATACATTACTTTACTTTATTTATATTTATATTTATATGTAATTGATAACTTTATCGAATAGTTAAATTAACCAAAATTTTAATATATATATATATTATATTAATATTTTCCATGATCTCAATTATTAATTTTTTCATTATTAATATTGACATTGCGTTGATTTTATATTTCATATTTACTTTTTGAATTTTGTTAAAAAATTTAGTGTTCAAGTGACGTTCATGTTTCAATTTTTGTAAATTTCTTAAAATACATAATATTACGTGAGTTTCATATTTTTTAAATTCCCTATACAAAATGAAAAATAAATTTTACCTAAGTTTAAAATGAAAAAGTTTATTTTGAAAAACTATGTATTGTATAATATAATAATTATTCAAGTGGATTAGGTGAAGTACGGGTTGAGTCAGTCGAGTTACGGGTTAATCGGGTTCGGATCAATCGGGTTCGGGTTAATCGGGTTTGGGTTAATCGGGTTCGGGTTTAATTGGATCGCGGGTCAATTGGGTTCGGGTTAATCGGGTTGTGGGTCAGTCGGGTTGCGGGTTAGTTGGGTTGCAGGTCAACCGGGTTGCGGGTCGGGGTGTTGCGGGTTGTTGACTTTTAATCAATTCAGGTTGCGATCGGGTTAATCGGCCGAGTTAATCAGGTTGGGTTCTGTTTTGACACCTATAATGCCAAGACTCACTAGATTCTATGGTCTAAGAGGCCCCCAATATTTCTGATCAGTTTTGGTTGGACATTGTAACCGCAGTTATTGATTAGTAAATGTCCAAGGTTCCATAAAAAGAAAAGGTTATGGGATCGGTTAGCTTGACTACCCCTAAAGGGGTAGTGATTTTTGACACCCCCTTTATGATTGGCCAATTTTATTTCCAATCATTGGCAAGTATTAATTAAACTGGTTTTTTATTTTTTTTTTAATCTTGTAATTTGGGGTCTCTCACCACATTGGAAAAGAGAAAGAATCTGGGGAAAAACGAAATCACCCCCATTAATTACATAATTAATTTCTCTCACTGGTACATTAATTACACGTACCACTCCACTAGTACACGTACCACTCCACTGGTACACGTACCACTCCACTGGTACACGTACCACTCCACTGGTGCGAGCAATCCACAAGGTAGGTTAGAGTGAGAACAATACCAGTGCAATGATATTTTTCATAACAATGATAAACAATAACGGAGCAACAATGCAGTACCACTTCAATGATACAAATACCACTCCACTGGTACACGTACCACTCCACTGGTACACGTACCACTCCACTGGTACACGTACCACTCCACTGGTGCGAGCAATCCACAAGGTAGGTCAGAGGCGATCCCAGGATGGCGGCAGCTGGAGATAGGAGGATGGTGGTGGGGGAAGGCGCTGGAGGGTTTTGGTCGTTTCAGAGTAGAGGAGGGTTCTGGTTAAAATGAAATCAAAATGGAAAGAGGGCCCAAATGGAGAGAGAAGGAGACGAAAGGAAGAAAAAAAGGCAATTAATTGCACATTTGGGGGGGAGCTTTTTTCTGATTCCCCATATTCTTTCCCTTTCCAATGTGGGTGAGAGACCCCAAATTACAAGATTAAAAAAAATAAAAAACCAGTTTAATTAATACTTGCCAATGATTGAAAATAAAATTGGCCAATCATAAAGGGGGTGTTGAAAATCACTACCCCTTTAGGGGTTAGCATAGTATCCCACCCCAAAGGTTATTGATTCGTGTTACACCGTCAAACTAACCACTAATCAAGCCAATAAGAGCATCCACATTGGTATTGCATTCTCAATTGTAAAATGATATGGCATAGGTGTTTACAATTGTGGCTACCAATTGCATTGATGTGGCTACCAATTGCATATTTGCAAGCTTGCAACAAATACAATTCCATATGCAAATAAAAAAAAGCCTAAAAATGGAAATTTTTTATTTTATATATTTTTTTTTCTCTTTTACTTAATTTTTTATAATTTAAACATAATATTAATTACATTTGCAATTGCAAGTTGCATTGATGCATGTGAATGAAATGAATGTGACGTGGATTGCAAAAAATTTGAGTTGACAATAAAAAAAACAAATACAATTTCTTTTGCAATTGCATTGATGGAGATGCTCTAACTGATATCAGTTTGATTCTCAGTATGCATTTTTTTTTTTTTTTTCAGAGGTTAACCGACACCAGACTTATTAGCAGTTTAGCACCTAAAATACTTCACCGACTCTGATTTGAATAAAAACAGAGATATTTTCCTTCCTCTTCTAAGAACCAACGTTTCAAGTTCCTTCCGAGAGGATAAAACAACTACCCAAACAGAAATTTAGGTATCTTATGTTCCAAGAAGGGTACAGTAACCTCCAAATTCTGCTCTCAACACTCCTGAAAATGAACTCTTTCTACGGTTGCACTGCTTCCAGAAGTTTCTCATACACCTGTCTAGCAGATAAATCCTCGACCTGTCCACGAGAAGCAGATGAAGTAGAGGATCGAATGTGAGCTCAACCAAACCCAGCCCCACATAAACCCCAAAATCCTTAACATAAATTCATAATCTACTCACAACTAAGAGCTTTGATTTGTTGTTCCATCCCCTTTGTAGAGCCATTTGGCTTAGCCTTAGACCCAAAACCTGCGTGCACAAAACAGCAGATAAGACTTTCAGTTTTACCCTTCAGGAGCTCGACAAATTACTGGAAATGTGTTTTAGAATGTGTTAACGCCAGATTATTGGCTCCATACTTTGCCCATGAATTCTAGAAGCTCATTGTTAGCTTCACCGCGGGCTGCAGGGGCTGCCACAGTTACTCGAACATCATCAGCATTAACCCCTGTACAGGATTTAGCAAGTTAATCAACAAAAAGAGTGATCGGGATCAGCAATTTCACATGGCGAAACCAACTCTAATAACAAAACAGCAATTTTCTTCTCTTCTCTGTATAAAAGCAATCTCATGATATATCTGTTTAAACTAGAAGCCAGCGCTCTCAACGAAGAACATATATTTCCCACCATAATCATTACAATCATTTTTTATGATTTCAGACTGTAAATGCGGACAGAACAGAAGCATATAAATGATTGAGTATCCAGCTACCCAAGTTGTGACATAGTGTGCAATCATTACTCCCAGAGCTTTCCTTGGACAAATGATATGCGCAGTACATACAGAATCTAAAGGTGACCAAATGCTATTATCTACCAGATGGGAGCAAAAAGATTGCCGAAGAAGTGCATGGTTGAGAAACTGATCCCAACACATTATCCCATTGCTCATCACTTCTAAAGTCATCCAATAACCAGAAAAAAGCGAAGGATTTAACTTATCAGAACCAATGTCTGGTTTCAGGAATCCTACTCCCACATGGAGTTCACTGTGTTACTCTTAATTGCACCCACAAAGAAGAAAAACGCACATCATTTGGTCATATCCAAATGGTATACGCGGACTTTGGTTCATAAGTCATCGTTTTACCATATTCAGTTCAAGCAAACATGGCCATATAAGTACCATGGAGCACTGTAACCTTAAATACCACGCCATAAGTTCAAACAAAATGACGAATGTCTCAAAGAAATGAATACTCACTTGTTATTGCCGATCGTTGTGCACGGTCCTCCACCTCTATGGCCACCTGGACAAGTCCTCCTTCCAATTGTGATATGCAGGGTGGCACTGGAGCATCCTACAGTATGTATCAAAATAAGTTGGCAATGGCTAAGAAATAGTTATATATCTTTCATAGTCAGCTATAAGCAAAGAGTAGAAATTGGATTCATGTTGATTGGATACAGAGGTAAGAACTTATAAGAGATCATCAAGCAAGATCAATGCCTACCCTAAAGACCTTCACTTCATTAAACTTTATCATTACCTGAGGGTTTGTTTCAGCAGCAACTGTGCTAAGGGCACCATCAACTACATATATAAAGGAAGCAGTTTCTATATCTTCTTCGGCACGATAACAGACGAATAGGCCACAACCCATGCAGTTCATACGAAATTGCTTCTCCAATTTCCCTTCTCCCCTTAACAAGCATAATCAGAAATCAGTATCACTTCAGGCCCAACACTTAGACAGAATTAGGACATAACATCCAACCGATGAGACAAAGATGCTAGAAAACTTATTAAACTATTCAAACATACTTTATGCTAGCTGCTGAACAGATGATAAAAGCATCAAAACTTAAGCACCTAAACTACCCAACAGGCAAGTCGACAACTATATGAGTCTTCAAATTGACAGGGTAAGAATCACTCGAGACACTCAAAACATCTTCAGTATCAAAGTGGAGCAATGGGGAATGACGGTGAAGAACAAGACCTAAATCAGTCATAAATGAAGAGAAACTAATGTACAAACTGGTTGTACCTCTTCAAGAGAACCTTTCCACCATCGTTAATGTTGAGCCTGGCCAGATGCTTCTTCTTGTCCAACACATAAGATTTGTCAGTCTTCCTTTTGGGCATTTTCTGCAACTGGGTATCTTATACCGAGCATATTTTAGTACAAAAACAATGCCAGCAATCACCCAATTTCACGTTAACACAAAAGTCGATGAATTTTAATTTACAAGGCCGATAACCGAACTGGACAACGAAACTGGGTCCTATTGCTTCTTTGTCAAATAGCCAGCGATTAAGCAGAATCCACACCTAAGATCACCCATCTCTACTTCTCTAAAGGATTAACCCCCTACTCGATTCCGTAATATTCATAAATTGTCCATTCTCAAGTGCAGAACCGCCGAAAGAAGAAATAACCAATCCAGATATTCGGGATCATTAAACGGAGAAGATGAAGATAGAGGGCGAACCAGTGATGAGGACATGGGAGCCACAGTGCTTGCAGTAATAGACGAATAGATCCGAATCAGGGCCATCGGGAGCTGCATCCTCGCTGGAGTAGGTGTGCGTAGTTCGTTTCGGCATACCGTTAGCCTAGCTTGACCCGGCAACGGCAGGTAATGCGTCCCCAAATCTGAGCTTCCGTCGGCCGACGATGGTGGATACGGTTGCTGTTTACCTCACCTCCAAAAGCCGCCCAAAGTCCTACTTCGCTGATGAAAAACAAAGCTCCTAGTCTTGCGCTCAAATTTGGCCGACAGCCGGTTGAAACTATACTAGTTAGGGGTGGGCATCTAAACCCAAGCGACTCTCGACCGAACCCAACCCAACAAATGAGCCATACTAATGGGTAGGGGTGGATCACGGTCGGTTTTGGTCTAACTAAAAACGGAAACATCGATTATTGGTTAGCCGAAACACGCCCAAATTCACACCGACAGTCGACCGAAGGACATGTTAGGTTAATCGACAACCGACCGAGCGGTTTTCGTTTTGGGTTCAGTTAGCTGCGAACCGAAAAATGATGGTGTTGTCGATTGAAATCGGGTCGGCGACCTAAGGCGGAAGAGGACGAGCGGGGTGACGAGGTCGGTGTCGGACGGCGGTGAGCGGGACGCCGACCTCTAAACTATTTCTTCGATTAGGGAAGATGGAGAAAGGCGTCGAGCGACGTCAGAGGCCGAACGCAGAGGAGGGGGTCAGGGAGGGGAGACACCGAGGTCGGGGATCGGGGGAAGGATTTTTGGAGTCAGTGATGGAGGGGGAGGTCGATGATGGGGGTAGGGGATTAGGTTTTCATTTTTTTTCTTTGAGAGGTGGTGGAAAATGGTGGTGGGACGAGGACACGATATCGTTTGGGCATTTTCGGAGATGGAGGTCGGTTAGCTTCAGCTATCTGGGTAATCACGGTTAATCACCTTCGGTTACTAGACTATCCGAAACACACCTCTCCCCCTCTAAAAATCGACCGCTTGTTAGTTTCGCCGACTTTTGGTTAGCCGGTAACCGACCGATTTTGATTATAACCGTTGGTTACCCGCTAACCAAAAACAATTTGATCGGCCCTACTGGGAGAGTATATGGAGACTGAATGACAGTGAAGAGAAGAGAACGAAGATAGATCAAACCGAATGAAAAGAATAAGATGGTTGATAAGTCACATAGGATAAAGCATTTCCAAGTGCTACATGAAGTGAAGCAAGACGCTAATGAAACTATGCATCATGAGGATAGTTTGTGCAAGGCAAATGGAAGAGAGGAGGAGATATGTAGGAATGAGGGGCCAAAAAGAATCGTGTCAACATACCTTACCCAAGAAAAAAAGCAATCGAATAAGAAGGATGCGGATGTGGAACCACAAAGGGAATGGAGGACAAATTTCAAACAAATTAGATAGGCTGAAGTTGTGTGTGCAACAATTAAGAACTCAAATATGATAAATGAACATGGAAGGGTGACAAGCCAGGTTCATAAAGAAAAGAAAGTGAATGGAGGTGTCATGGGTGGACTGGTAATTGTGGATACGATAAAATCTAAGAATGTTTCAAATCGTATCTTAAATAGGAAACAAAAGGTTGAAGAAAGGTGTGGGTCCTAAACTACAATTGTAGAGGACTGGGAAGTAAGCGAGAAGCTAAAGCGTTTAGGTCATCGTTGCTATAGGCTTCCCTCCATGTTGTATTCCTTATGGAAACCAAACAAACATCTTATGAGAATGTTATTACTCCATATAAATTGAGTATTGAGATTGGTGAGAGCTAGCCTATGAGTATTGCATGATGTGAACATGTTGGTGGATTACGTATATGATGTAAGAAAGGGCTTAATCTTTCCCTAATGGCAGCTTCTTTTCATTATTTAGACATGAAAGTAATTAAAGGTGAAAATAATATTTGGCAGTTTACCAAAATTTATGGATGGCTGGATGATCGAGAAAAATGATCCACGTGGGAACTCATTAGTAGGTTGGCTAACTAGGGAGAAGAGGCGTGGCTGTGTGGAGGCGATTACAACTAGGATTATTAATATAGATGAGAAACATGGAGGGAGAACACCTCATGAAGCTGGCATGCAGTACTTTAATGACTGCCTTATTTTATTCAGGTTTTTAACCTTGGATATGAGGGTTATGATTTTACTTGGGAAAATAAAAGATCCTAAGAAGGCTACATTGAAGAGCAACTGGATTGTGGCCTCAGAAGTGGATGGGGATGTTCATAAATAGCAAGGTGCACAATCTCAACATTTCCTACTCCGACCATAGGCTGATTGTATGTAGGGTTGGTATTCGATTTTTCGATTAACAGTATAACTAGTTAGCGAATTAATAATCGACGGTTACCGGTTGTCGGTAGAGGAACAAGAGAGCTTGGTATACCAGGATATAACCGGCTAATAACCATTAGTTATTTAACTAACCGACTCCAATATCCCCACCCGATAGACTTTTCGTCCCTTGTGCCTTGCGTTGTCTTCAATCTTCATTCCTTTCCTCCCCAACTCTCTACACTCTGCAGCAAATCTTAAGAGGCGCCATCGATTGAGACCACCACCAGTCCACCACACGCCATCGGTTGAGACTACCGCCCAGTCCACCTCCTCTCTTCCTCGACCTCCTCTCTTTAATATATCCCTCCCCTCAGCCACTGCTCCCTCTCCTGATCTACTTACATGGTGGCGGGTCCCGTTCTCCCATGGTCCCCAAACCTCCCTCCACCTCTTCCTGGCCCATAGTTGATTTCCCACAACGGTGGCTCTTTCACATAGGATCGAGGCGATTGATACCAATGGAATCAGCTGAAGTAGGTCCATTATTCCCTCCATATCTTCTATAGGAAGACTACTCCTGGGCGATGACTTTGCTGGACAGGTTAGCAAAAAAGCTTTGGTAGTTGGATCTGCTAGAGATGATGCTGGCGGGGAAGTTAATGGAGTCGTAAGAGAGGTGGATCCATTTATTATATAACCGGTCGAAGCTCTGCTGTCGAGTTGAGAGAGGAATAAGGTTTATGGCTTAGCCATCTTTCTTAGCTTACTACGAGCAGTAGCAGCGCATTTCGTCCAAGGAAGATATTGATGAAGAAGGGAAGAAGGAATCTGATGAAAAGGAGGAGAAGAAATCGAAGATGAAACCAAGATTTTGAATTGGCTTGTTTATAGCTTCATTATTGATGCCAATAAAAAATTTGGAATTTGGTTTTTTCCTTGTCAATTGATGATCGGTTCAATCCGTGCATATTATTGTCAATGGTGAGAACGTGTCGACAACTACTCCATCCTAAGCCAAGTTTAACTTAAGATGGTATTGTCGTTTAGTGGTGATCAAGGTCGTATTTTACTCGGGTCCTGATACCCTAGCCTACTTCCCACCTAGTTGCTAATTAGTTCAGTTTTGGAGGTTTGAGTGGAGGACTTGAGGAGATAACTAGATTAGCGATTGATGAAAGCTAAAAGCAAGTACTTCGGGGAACTAATCCTCCCCCTAGCTTAGGGTTACTATGCATGCATAAATACTTAGGGTTATCGGATGTGGTGAGTGACCTCTTTTCCGTGGGTTTTTGTGATTATCCACACACCTCCGAGTATGCCTCCGCTAAACCCATATATATTCACCTCGATCAAGGTTATCGTATCTGATGCACTAAGATCACGGATAATTTCAATGGACACTATCCACCATCCACACCAAGGTTTCATCCTAAGTTCTATCTAGGAAGGCTAACCTGCGGGAGGGGTTCGGTCGCCTCGACCACCATAGGTCCCTATTCATATCTCTATCTCGATTTTTTTGATGGCGCATATCTGTCTAACCCTAGAAATCCATACCCAGCTTAGAAGAATAAAGTAGGCTAATAGAGAAGATTAGGGTGACTTACCCAAACACAATCAAGGATAAAATAGCAATAGAATCAACTATATAGCACATTCATTCATTCAAACCCTAAAAAATTCATACATACATAATAAACCTTAAAACTACGGTTTGGGGTTTAGAACCCCTAGTACCTTAGAGGACTACTCCATAAAGGAGGGAAGAAGCAACATAGAAGAAATTGAAGAAGACTTAGGTTGCGGAAGATGCTCCCTCTCTTTTAGCTCCTTATCCTTCCTTCAGCTTCTCTCTCTTCTCTCTGTCTCTATAAAACCATAAATTTCTCTCAAAATCAGCTCATCTAAAAGGGGGAAAGGGGTCTTCTATTTATAACCAATCTGGGGAAAGAGAAGTTTGCGGCCATAAGCACAGAGATCGCGGCCGTGATCTTCAGAAGTGAAGTCGCGATCTTGAAACGTCATCGCCCTGGCTTTCGTAAATAAAGAGATCGCGGGCTGACTTCATGGTCGCGATCCATGAGTCACGGTCGCGATCCACGAGTCACAGTCGCAATCTTCCTTGCGGTCAAATAATGTTGCGGTTGTGATTCGACTAGGGAATGTCTATGTTTCTCCCTGGCTCCTTCCTCGTGAAGTTTGTGCCCTGGGCCCTCCAATTCGCGGCCGCAATCGGGGGCTTCCGGGCCACGATCTTCAGGTTGAGTTCGCTGTCAATGTTCCCGGCCATGATCTTCAGCTTTCAGGCTACGATCTTCAACTTTCTGTCCCCTTGCTATATTTGTGACCTGGTTTTGTACCTAATTCGCATATAACGTTTAATACACCCTAAAATCACATTGAATTCAAAAAGGAACAAAATAGGGATGCAATCAACGATGTTCAAGCAATCATGCACATGAATTGGCACGAAACAAACCTTGGTATGAGGGTTAAATAACACTAATTTAGGGGTTATCAAAATCCCCCACACTTAGGCATTTTCTTGTCCCCAAGCAAACACACTCAAACCTAATGCAACATGATAGACAAATCAATGGGAAATGCACTCTAGTTCTTCATAAAAGAAGAGTAGACGAAGATGAATGAACATTACTATCTGCCTACTGTGCAATCAAAAACTCTCGGGTGAGGACCATACCTACTACCTTAGGCTGAACATTCAAGGTGTGCTCCAGGGGATTCTCCGACAACAAACACGAACTAGAAGTCTTGAAGGTGCTCTTTATTCTCTCTTTAAATTTAGGAGTTGAAGTTTATTGGTCTCCTTTTTTATGACGTTGACGTGCATTGTACCAAGCTTTTGCAATTCTTTTGAAAACAAGCATCTCTCCCTCGTGACCTAGAGCCGATGAGTCATAGCCTTCCTTTTCAAGATCACATGTGGAGAAGTTGATGGGTTGATTCGTCTTAGCCCGAGCACCACCTCCCAGCCTGCACTTCACATTGGGTTGCCACACATGTCGGGTACAAACGAGAGCTATGAGGTCTCATGAATCGCTAAAAGGTACTTTGGACCTTGGCATATGATTCAATGAGGAGGAAAGATACTTCGGGGATGGTAAGTAGTGAAAGATGGTCGGGACGCGGTAAAGTTATTTGATCCCCTCCGTGAGGATTGGTTGCCTCCCACGTGAGCCTCATTTTCAAAAGATGTTTCACTCTTTTCTTTCTTTTCTAATACGCCCAAACTTGTAAAAGCATTGAGTTCACTAGACACAAAAGAGAATCCCGCAAACATGTTCTTCATAAAATAGCACATGTTATCGACTAACAAAAGAGGAATAAGATAGTAAAATTACCCCTACATCGGTACTCTAATAATGCAACTATCTCCTAACAAGCACAACACATCAATCATCTAACAAATCAAAGCATATTGAGTAGGGATTTGTAGGGAACAAGGTGTTTTGGAACCCTCAAATTTGAAATTTTTTGGGTAATAGCATTCAAGGTTCCAAAAAACTATCATTTGGCCAATGATTACAACAACACAAACACAATCGCTAGCACACACTCCCATAAGTATTCATCAACGTCTTACATTCATAAACAAGGGAGGATTCTAGCAATATATTGTTCAACCAATCATGATATTCATTCAAACATTCATACACATCCCTCCAATACTTGAGCAACACATTGTCCTTAGTGTGGGAGTTTCATAAGAGAAGATCGTGAGGGTTACCATAGGTTTTTGTTGTGGGTTGGTGAAGGTACATAAGTGTAGGTCTTTGTCTTCTTTGTGGTTTTTACAATGATAAAGCACATAAGATAGAGAGGAAGACGATTAAGAGTTATAGGTTTGATAGTTATAAAATATGAGTATGAATATTACTAGTGCTAGAAAATTTAAAGTACGAAAAGTAAACAAAAAATAAAGCGATAATTAAACATTGATTTAATTAAAATAAAGAAAATACAAGAAAAATAAAAGACAGAAATCGGCCCCTAGACGCCAAGTTGTCTTTGATTCGCAGTTGGAGCATATGGTAGTTGCACATCGGAGGATCTTTCTTGTAAGGATGGTCCATCATAGTTCGTAGTCGCCTTTATTGGTTGAATTGTTGTGCATGATGTGGTTGCTCCTCACTTTGAGGTTATGGTTCTTCTCTTGGAATTTGTGGTTCTTCTCATCATGGGCGATTAGGGTTTCTTCGTTGTTGGGAGGTAAGAGAGCTAGCACTCTCACTCTCGGTTGGATTGCCATTAAAAGATAAAAATCACAAAACATGTTCAAAAAAATTATTAAGCAACTCACTTGATCAATTAAAAAACAAAATCCATCCTTAGGTTCACTCTATACACACCCCACACTTAAGTGGTACAATGTAGAAACTAGAGGTGCATAAGTAGAAATGCATGTTGTAACGACTCGGGTCGAGGTCTAGATGCATGAAAACAAGGGCGACATGTCTTTCTAGATGTTTCTAAACCCTGGACGAAGGCTAGAATCAACTCATTAGACAACAACCAAAGCTTGAACTCTTGGCTCTAAAAGCATAACATAGCACAAAATCAAAAGTAATCCAACATTTCAAACTCAAGTTAAATGCATTAGAAATTCAATCCTAAGTCATAAACACACTACTAAGAGTCTATCTTAATCAAACAAGTTCATTTGAAAAGCAATGGATCAAGAAAAATAATTTTATGTGGTTTGGGCATTTCATCGAGCACTTGGTGGGCGACATTCAAACTCCACAAATTCATAAAAATAAAGCTCACCAAGGCCTCCAAACACACAGACACACACATAAGCATACATTCTATGATCCTATTGTGCTAGCCATGCCAATTTATTACCCCCAAGTAGCTTAAGTGGTCGGCGAGCACACTTGCTTAACAACAACATTTGCAACTATTCCTAAGCAACTAGTTAGTCTCCAACAATCATTCATATAATACTTGACATAGAAGGTATTCATTCACTAGCTAAACTACTTAAGGAAAAATCAAACATGCAAGTTTTATTTTTAAAAAGTAAGGATATAAAAACCGGTTGTTAGGGTACATCTCAACTAGTGCGTCTTTCAAGTCTTATCGCTGGACAATTATCTTAAAGTATTCGGTCCAATTTAGAACCTCCTTGAAGTTGAGGTTATCACCGGTGAGGTGGTTTCTCAAGTCATGAGCATTGGACGAGTCCGTGATTGAGGGCTCGTGAACTTGAATTGTCATGAGGCTCCACCTACGATACCTCACCGTCTTTCCTTCATCCTTTTTCACTTTGCCCCACGCCATGTACTGCACACTTAATTGACTTTTATCACATCCACCAAGAGGGATTGTCAATGGTTTGGCCTTGGCTTGGCAAAGAGCTGCAAGTGGGTCCTTCTCCAAAAGTGCATCGAGGTTGGGTGGAAAGTTTGATAGCACTTGTAACTTGTTGAAGCTTCATCCACAACGAACTCATCCTCATCATTGGCACCATTTCCTTCTTCAACCTCCCTTCCCTTTTCTTCAATTTGTTCCGCCACTTGGGAACGTTCAAGATCTTCCTCTTCTTTGATGCTCAATTCCTCTTCCACAACCTTCCTTCTCACCTCTTTTCCTTTTTCTTCAAATTGTAGAAGATGATTGTGAACAAGTCGCGCACATGCTTGCTCGACAATCTTTCATAGTATCTCCGTATTTTGAGGAAATCCTCCGTTGACCGTAGAAAAGATGAGTCGCTAGTAGTGGTGGCTGAGGAGTCCACCTTGAAGCTCGCTTCGGTATCTTGGACGAACCGCTCCACCATGAGCTCCAATTGGCTCATCGATGATGGTGGAGTGTAACAAGATTGTTCCAC